CCTGCTTCATGTCAACAGTAGATTCTGGCGAAAAGAACACATACTTTACTCTCCTTGAGGACAGGAACCTGGTCTTAAATTGCTCTGTTTCTGGGGCACTGTTAGACTTCTGAATGGGTCTGAACTTAAACCTTACTTTGCATATCCTCTCCAGTAGTGTCATTCCCTTTTCACAGATGAGAAAACTTACGCTAAAGAGTAGTATACTCAGATGATGAATGAATGAATGAATGAATGAATGAATGAATGAATGAATATGGTGATACTTTATTTTTCCCACCAGACTTACATTCCACAAGTGTAAGTACCTTAGCCCTAACCCTTAGAACATGTCCGGGCATATGGCAAAACCTCATGGTTATTGTTGTGTAGTGAATGCGGGAATGGGAGGACCTGGACAGAGAATGTCTGCTTTCTTCAGGAGGTTCCCCTGGGCCTTTTGAGATACATTCTGCACTTCTCCTGCAGGATTTCATTTCATTTTATTTATTTTTGTAATTGATTTCAGAGAGGAAAGGAGAGGGAGAGAGAGAGAAACATCAATGATGAGAGAGAATCATTGATTGACTGCCTCCTACACACCCCTACTGGGGATCAAGCCTGCAACCCGGGCATGTGCCCTGGCCGGGAACCGGGACTCAAACCGTGACCTCCTGATTCACAGGTCGACACTCAACCACTGAGCCACGCCGGCCGGGCCCCCTGCAGGATTTTAAAAGGACTCCCTAAAGGCCTGCAGCAGGCTGAGCTAATGAAGTGGAGGACGAGTGACAGCTACAAACTTCTTTCAATGGAAAATTAAATCTGTTCAGCAGGGGTTTGATGAGAAGCTGGGACTGGCCCAAAGAAGGCTGCAGCTGGAGGACATATCCATCTGGATCCCACAGGCCTCTAGATGTTCAGAGGTTATTCTTAGCCGTCCTTTCTTCAGTCTCGGCTTTGTCTTAATCAGGGCTGTTTTGGTTTTGCAATTGGAGCTCCCCCCCTCCCTTTCTGTAAAGCAATAATTTTCCATATAGTAATTCTTTCCCTCTTTACACTTCCCAGAGGGGGCGGGTGGGTTTTTTTTTGTGCTCAAACTCTTTGCACCTGACCTCCCACTCACTCGGCACCTCATCAGCCTTTGTAGCTGGTGGACACCTATTCTGTGTGCTGGGGACTTGGCCCCAGCTCCTTGTTGGTTCACAAGGAACTTAACCCTACCACTCTCCTTGCTCATTACTTTTCCTTACAAACAGCAATATGAGGATATTCCCCACCCTTCCTCCCTCTGCTTCATGGGTTCTGAATTCTGCTGGATTGATTTCACTTGAGTTGTGACAGGCAGCAAAACCCAGGGCAGGTGGCCAAGCTCCAATCCTTGGTGCCTGCATCATAATCATAACCACTCACATTTACACGGCACTCTGTGGTTAAGAAAGCACTTTCGCGCTCAGTAGCATGGACTGTGCCTTTAAGTAGAAAAATCTTCCCCATTAATGAAATGTGGCCCAATGAAGGTCACGGGCTTTGGCCAATCAAGTAAAAACTTCTCTTTTAAGAGGAGTTAGGGAGTGGGCTGAAGTGGGGTTACCATGGGAACCAAATTGAAGTGTATCGTCCACTCTAAATAGAACAGTGGGTAAGACTGTGGCCCAGGGAGCACGGTTGTACTACCTATTAGCTCCGTGACCTTAGACAAGTTATTTCACTTCACTCCTCTGCATCTTTATCCATGAAACACGGGTAAGTGCAGTGGTGATGAGAATTAACTGAGATAAGGCATACATGGAGTTCAGTAAATGGTATTTTTGTTGTTTTGAGTTTGTCTCCTAGCCATACCCTTCTTTATGTTAGCTAGAAACCAAGGAAGCCTTAAAATGCTGCAGAAAGAATATGAACAAAACAATCCTATATAATAAAAGCCGAATATGCAAATTGACCGAATGGCGGAACGACCGGTCACTATGACGTGCACTGACCACCAGGGGACAGATGCTCAATGCAGGAGCTGCTCCTGGGTGGTCAGTGAGCTCACACAGGGGGAGTGCTGCTCAGCCAGAAGCTGGGCTCATGGCTGGTGAGCGCAGCGGTGGGGGCGGGAGCTTCTCTTGCCCCTGCAGCAGTCCTAAGGACCCCTTGGGGGATGTCTGCCTAAGCCAGCAGGCAGACATCCCCCGAGGGGTCCCCGGCTGCAAGAGGGTGGACGCCGGGCTGAGGGACTCCCCCTGCCAGTGCATAAATGTTGTGCACCGGGCTTTTAGTTCATAGAATATGAAACTACAACATTCTGCCAATTTTTCCTTTTAAGAACTTGCCACTTTTTCCAAATGCCCTGATTCCACTTTTTTTTTTTCCCCTCCCCAGTTTCATACCCTCAGCTGGTCCCAGTGAGCTGGAATCATGGAGAAGGTAGCTGGGACTCTGTTGGATAACATATGGCTCTCAAATATGCTTTTGCCCGGGTGTAACTGTGACTTTGATATAAATATTCACTCAAAATTTAACTGCTATTCAGTTGAAACTTTTCCTAAGTAGTTGTTTTCTCATTTGGCTTCTTGTGGAACAGAAAACTTAAGAAAGCAGATTTTTAAAAATGCAAACACAATGTGGCCGTACTGCCCCAATCCATGCTGGACTCAATGCTCACTTTCTCCCCAATCTTTATAGAGTTTGTTTTCTTTGTGTGCCTCACATATAGCAATGAAAAAGAGTTCATAGTGGTTATTGCCTATGCATAGAATTTGGTTTTTATTAGTGTGAAGAATTAGGTTCTTATCAATGGGCAAGAGTAGAATTGAAAGGTTATTTGATATTCTTATAAACTCAGATTTATTCTTAACTTTACCCATATAATGTTTCTTTTGAGACCAGTCAGCAAAGTAGGAGGCTCAGCATGGAAAAAAAAGCATGGATAATTCTGAAATGCAGAAAAAGGGAATTCACAAGTTACTTGTGTTTTAGCATGGAGTCAGCAGTATACGGCCTGGTGATCTCTCTCTCTCTCTCCTTAACCTCCCTTTCCCCCTCTCCTTTCCCCACATCTCTTGCCATTTCTTTCTGGCTAAGCCCGGAAGAAAAACTTGATTGAAGTGCAGGGCACCATCCAGGAAATGATGATAGCCATGCTCTAGTTCCAGCTCTGCCATCTCCTCACTCAGTGGAGGGCATCCCTCTGGGTCTCAGCTTCCTTGTGTATAAAAGAAGCAGGAGGTTGGGATCAGGGCGCCTGGAACTACAGGAGCTCTGAAATCTGTGGATCCCACCTTGGCCCATGTAGGACCACTTGGCACCCCTCAGCAGCTGTGACGTGGATCATCCCCAGCGCAGGGAATTGACTGCAGCATCACAAAATGGACTCTACTCACAGCCGTCTGGCCACTAGCATAGATGCTGGTGCCTTTGGCTGCCTCTTGGAGCCACCAGCCAACACGGAGATGAAGCTGGCTGGAAAAGAGGATGGGAGTGTTGGAACGGCCACGGCCATCACCAAACCCAGCATCTGGGAAGCACCTGTGTCCCCAGAAGGTCACTGACAGCCTTCAGCCGGTGGTGCAGAGCAAAGAGTCAGGCAAACCAGGTTTTGGATCCCGACTCCGCCACTTGCAAGAGCTGTGTGACCTTGGGTAGGATCTCTGGCCGGGTCATTTCCCCTCCACAGCATGGGGGTAGCAATGCCTCCATCGTGTGGAACTGGGTAAAGATTGAGGTACTGCAGAGGCTAAAGTACCGACAGATGACAGGTACTCAGAGGGACTTAGTAAATGGTGGTGGTGGTGATTATCCTTTGTCCTTTATGCACAGGATATGGGGTGGGGGGAAGAGGACAGTGGACCCCAGTGTCTAGCTTAGGCTCCTCCCCATGGTTGGGAGGCATGGACTGGCTCCAGGCCCGGGCCCAGGCTCCTGGCACAATGTTGCTGATTCCGGCGCTGATTAAATTCCCTGCTTGGAGCCTCAGCATCCTGACCCAGAGCAGGAGGGCGGGCATTTAGCGCAAACGGATGGAGCCTAAGTTATCTCTCAAAGCTGCCCCTTTCAAGGTCTTGTCCCCTGCCCTCACCTCTGGTTCCTTCTCTGGATCCCTGTCCGAGAAGGGAAATAAACAGTCGTGCAGGCTCCCCTTGCCCCCACTTGGGCCGAGCAGGTGCCGGGCGAGCACGGGCGGTTTTTGCCCCAGACGCCGCCCTGCCGCTCCGGGGGCTGCAGCCCAGGCTGGAAGCTGGCGTCTCCGTGCGCCTGGCTGGCCCCTGGTTTTGTGTTTGGGCAAAGCTGGGCTCTCAACTCAAACCTGCCGCTTCCTCCATCCTTTTCCCGACTGTTTGCAAATGCTTTTTTTCTTTTTTTGGCCGCGAAGCTTGATGAAGTAGCCCTCAGTGTATTTCTGTCTCCCTGCGTCCACCAGGTAAAAGAAAACAAAATGAAGCAGCTCGGGATCCAACTGTGGTTATTTTTTAAAAGGGGGAGAGAGGTCACATGACTGCGAGTCACTGATGGAGGGGAGAGGCTGCAACCCCGAGCTCGCCGCAGAGCCGCCCCTCCCGCGGGGGCGTGACGTCACGGAAAAGCCCCGCGCGGCGGCCGCTATAAACCGCGGGCGGCGGCGGGCGCGGCTCGGACGGCTGCCCGCGCAGGACAGCGCTCTGCGCCGCGATCGTGGCGCGCACCGGTGCGTGGATGCCCACGTGGCAAGGCCAGGTAAGGGGCTCCTCTGGGGGAAAGGGGGCTCCCCCAGGGAGTGATTGGGGAGGGGGTGGGCTTCCCAGACCCCGAAACTGTCTAAGTTGAGAGCGGAGCCCTGGAAGCCGCGGTTGGCGCTCCGGGTGGAGGCGACGGCAAGGTGCAGGGGAAGCCGTTCCGGCAGGTTCTTCAGTCCCGTTCAGGGGGAGGTCACCCTCCTGCAGACCCAGCGGGCAGAGGGCAGCCGTCGGGGACACCTCTGGCTTCTGTTGGGATGTCCACGGGGGAGCGGGGTGGGGGAGCTGCCGAGTAGGCGTCCTGGCCGGTGGCCGGCGTGTTGGGGTGCGGAGTGTGGGGCGACGTGGAAAGGGGAATGTCTGTGCTCTTCGTATTTTCACGAGTGGGTCTTGCCGATGAAGATGAGAAAGCTTCTGCTCTCTGATACTTTATTATTTCGCGGGCAGCCTGCAGGACAGGCCTCCGTGCCAGGGGAAGGGGTCTGGCCAAGGGGACGCCGTTGCCAAGTCGTTGCATGCCCTTTGAGCAGGGAGAGCCTCTGACCTTCTGGTTTGCTTCGAGAAGCTGGGCACCGGAGTTGCATGAAAGGACTCGGAGCGGGCCTCGTCGGATGAGAATTCGGCGTTTTCTCTGCAACTTTGAAGGGGTCTGAACGGGAGCGGGTCCTGTCCCTGCCCGGACGACCAGGCTGGGGGCGGGGGCGTTCAAACGTGGTGCCCGCGGGCGAGAGGGCAGAGCGGAGGCATTGACCTCCAACGGATTCGTGATTGCGGCCCCCTCCCCCCAGATAACGGCTGATTCAGGCAGCCGGGGAGCGTCGGGGCAACTTGACTAAACATGGAAGTTCCAATCAGCGCGGTGCGGTCCGCCCGGGAGGAGTGACGTCATTGCCACGTGCCTCCCCCCAGCGCACGGCCCGCGGGGCGCCAGTGCCATCAAGAGCCGCGACCAGACCAGAGCAGCTCCCCCGGCCCCGGGCCCCCGCGCCGTTAACTCCCTTCTGGCTGACTCCGTGCCAGCCCCGAGGGGGGGGGGGGGGTCCCACGGGTTCCCTGAGGATGGAGGGAGATCCGGGGCGCTGGGCGATGCTAACGGTACTTTTTTCCTCTTTGCAAATGACAACCTGGCCAAGGGGCTGGTGGCTAATTGTGCGTGTGTGTGTGCGTGTGTGTGTGTGTCCAGTTGAGAAAGCCTGTTGCGTCCCTTAGGTGAGGACTCGTGGGTCTCGCCCACTTGGTGGAGGATCGCTGATGGCGGGCTGTGTGTGCGAGCCCCCGCGTTCCCGCTCGGTGCTCACCACTCTCACCACCGCTGACGCGCGGCCGCTTTGCTCCCCAGGACCCAGCGATGACTCTGAACCATGTCACCCTGCGCCGGGGCCCCGTGGGCGCGCAGCCGCAGCAGCAGCGCTGGAGCGTCCCGGCGGACGGCAGGAACCTCATGATCCAGAGGGAGCCCAGCCAGCGAGGCCAGCGCCCCGCCGCCCCCGAGGACCCCTGCCGCCGGAGCTGGTCCTCCGACTCCACCGACTCGGTCATCTCCTCCGAGTCCGAGAACACCTGCTACCGGGTGGTGCTCGTCGGGGAGCAGGGGGTGGGCAAGTCCACGCTGGCCAACATCTTCGCGGGCGTGCACGACAGCGTGGACAGCGACTGCGAGGTGCTGGGAGGTAGGTCCCCGCCCCTCCGGCCTCGGTCCGCCCCGCAGCAGCCCCCGCAGCAGGCGCCAGCGGGCGGGCCATTTATCCACAGAGCTGAGCGCTGGCTGCAGTTACGCACGCATTCTTGGCACCGAAAAGCCCTGGCCTGTTGGCACCGGCCGGTGGGACAATGAGATGAAAATGCTTCTAGATAAAACCCTGGGCCGGGAGGGGATTTCTTAGGTCCCAGCTCTAACGGGGCTGAGCGGGGTGGGGTTGGGGGACACTGATTCATCAGGACAGAGCTAGAGGGTCGGGCGCCCACCTCTGGCTCTTGCCAACTCTGCCCTGGACTTTTCAAGAGTTCAGTGTAGCGGCGGCTTTTCTCCGTGGCTATTCCTAAAACCAAGACGATTTGAGAAACCGAGCCATCACTTTATTTCCACCAATATTAGTGTTTGTTTGAGGCTGTAAAATCGTTTAAAATTTGTATTTGAAATAGTGCGACCTCTTTAAAAAAATTTTTGAATTACAGCAATAATGATACATATGTTTGTATCAAGTCTTACCGTTTTTTTTCAAGACAGTTTCCCTGCACGATCTCATTTAAGATATTTATTATTGAAGTCAGGCCTATTTCCAAAACCGATTTGAGGTGACATAGTCTCCAAAGTATACATGGGTGCCTCAGGTACGTGCAAAGCATAGCGCTACGTTCTGGGAGGTGATGGGAAGATCCTCATTGTCCATGGTATTCATACAGTGTCTTTCAGCCATAGTTTCCGTCTCAGCATACCCGGCCAGGGTGGCTGCATGTCCCCATTCGCAGCTATAGACAGGAAGAGAGAACCTTCCAGTGCTTGCCCAAGTGGCATGGTCTGTCTGTACCTTCAGTTGCGAGTCACAGATGAATCACGGACTCCACGGAGCAGAAGATGCTCTAGTGATGCTCAGTCCTGCCCTGCACTTGTTGCATAGGAATCTTGCTGCATCCTTAGTACTGTCTGCCCACGTCCATGAAATGTTTATTCCGGTGTCAGGGAACTCACTGCGTCTTAAGGCAAGTTCCCGTTCTGGGCTATCAATGATGACTCATTAGAACATCGATTTCTCTTCTCATGTGGGGCTCTCAGGAACGATAGCTAAACAAGAGTCAAGGGAGAGAGAGGGTCAGAATGGTACCATTGCTTTTCTCTTTCTTTGTGAAGGCTGGTGGATGATGGTGGCTATTTTTATGGTTCATTCATTCAATTAATAAGTATTTACTGAGCACTCGCAATATTCCAGGCACTGTCCTGGGTGCTGGGGGTTAGAGCAGTAAGCAGCACAGATGTAAATCCATGTCTTCACATTCAGAGGCGAGAGACATAAAGTGATAAAATAAGTCAGTTAAAGGGATTACATGTTAGATGGAGATAAGCACAATGAAGAAAAACAGGACGGGAGGAAGGGATGTTAGCAGAGAAGAGGTGTCTAAATAGATGGTCAGGGAACACCTCGCCCAGAAGGAGGTAAGGGAACAAGTCTTTTGGATATTTGAGGGAACAGAGTCCAGGCAAAAGGAACAGCAAGGAAAATGGTAAAAGAAAAAATTATAAAAATTATACGTTTTAAATGACGAATGTGAAAATAGAGTGGGATGGGCTCACTTATGGAGATGATAGGAATCTTATTTGCAAAAATTCCAGTAAACTCAGTAAATCCCCTGCCCCAGTGGTTTTTCTGGGATGGAGCTGCTCTGGCCCATTACACTGGTTCACCCTTCATCTACATTCAATCTGAGCTCAAGTGCAGGGAGGAAAGTTTCCATTATCAAGTAGAGCTGGAGGCTGCTGCCTGCTTATTCCGAGGGAAATGTATTTTTTTAAGGAAGAAAACAGGGACAGTCTCAAGATTTTTTTCCTGCATGTCTCAAAAAAAGAAAAGTTTCTGAGCTCAAAGTTCCTGAAATTGCCAGTGAATGCCCAGTAGTCAGCCCACTGAAGGGCATAGTGAGTTGTAAGGCTGATGAACGAGGCTGACAGTTCCATGGGGCGCAGTTAGTGTTTTCTCATGGCATCGGAGCTTGAATCTGAGTCAAAAGCTCTAAAGCAGGGGTTCTCAACCTGTGGGTCGCGACCCCTTTGGGGGTCGAACGATCCTTTCACAGGGGTCGCCTAAGACCATCGGAAAACACATATATAATTACATATTGTTTTTGTGATTAATCACTATGCTTTAATTATGTTCAATTTATAACAATGAAATTGGGGGTCACACAACATGAGGAACTGTATTAAAGGGTCGCGGCATCAGGAAGGTTGAGAACCACTGCTCTAAAGTGAGTTTGTACTCAGGATTTTCCTATAGAAAAGATCCAGGAATGATGCAAATGAGTGCCTTTCACGGCAAGTGGTCTCGTGATACATATTCAGAGGTGTTCTGCTTGTAAGTACTGGAGGAATATATGTAGAATACCGTTCAAGGTGATAAAAGATAATAATCTGCGTAATGAATATCTGGGTATTTACATAATTATATACTTAGTCAGTTTATTTTCTAGCATCGTTTTTTGCATGATCATCTTAATATAAAAGTGTTACTATTTGCCTGACCGATATCACTGTTCTTTCTCTTTTAGAAGATACATACGAGCGAACACTGATTGTTGATGGCGAAAGTGCAACAATTATCCTCCTGGACATGTGGGAAAATAAGGTATGCGGAGCCCAGAGCTCTCTGAGTTCCTTTAGGGTTTGTCTTCCAATAGGCTGTTGGGTATGAGGGTGACCTTGTACTTTTTGGTGTTCCAGATGAGGTAGGTTCATTTTCTTGAGTAAAAGCTTTTACTTCAAGCATCACATGGTCTCACTCATATGTGGAATCTAATGAACAAAATGAACTGATGAACAAAATAGATCCAGAGACACAGAAGCATGGAACAGACTGATGAATCTCAGAGGGAAGGCAGGGAAGGCGGGGATGAGAAGAGAGTAACCAAAGAAGTTTTATACATATTTGCATAACCCACGGACACAGACAATAGTGTGGTGAAGGCCAGGGGTGGGGGGAGGGGGGAGAGGGTCAGTGGGGGAAAAAAGGGGGGACATCTGTAATACTTTCAACAATAAAGATAAATTAAATGACTTAACTTCCCAAATACAAAAAAGAAAAAGCTTTTACTTCTGAATTATGACACTGTTCTAAGGAGCAGATCATGCACAAATGAGCTCTGAATAATAAGCAAGTTGCAGTGATTCGCCCTCAGTTCTACTAAAAAATATTTTAAAAATATTTGTTTTAGGGAAAGAGCCAACAAGTGTGAATGGTAATTTCACTAGTAAACTATATAAAACCACATTACATAAAGTTGACAGTCTCAATACTAGCCTTCAAGATTTGCTTTTTAAAGATTTGGGCTTCTGTATATATATGCTAGACGTTCTGTTTCTTGAAAAGCCTCCTAATTCTTGCAAGACGATTCTTAATTTTATCACCTGGGAATGGCAAAGGGAGTTTTTGGAAAGCCAGAAAAGGCACATTTTTAGTAGTTTAGACAGAGAATGGAAATGTTTGGCAGAGTCATTGTATAAGTTGTCAACTCCATTGGACAGTAAAAGCTTTTTGGCAACTACTTTATGGGCTAGCAGTCTTTACAGCCACCAGACATGATGCATTTTGTGGAGTTGGAAGAAGTTTTATTTCTATCTCAGACCAGCAAGGGTACTTTGAGATACACTTATTTTGCAAACGGAAGCCTCATTCACCAGGCCAACCTGCGCTCACGGGAGACCTTCTCATTCCATTAGGGGGAGAGCGAGTGGCTGCAGGACCACTGCATGCAGGTCGGGGACGCCTACCTGATCGTCTACTCCATCACAGACCGAGCCAGTTTTGAGAAGGCATCCGAGCTGCGGATCCAGCTCCGCAGGGCCCGGCAGACAGAGGACATTCCTATAATTTTGGTTGGCAACAAAAGTGACCTGGTGCGGTGCCGGGAAGTGTCTATTTCAGGTCAGAGGGCTGGTGCTAAGACCATAGAAACACTCTCTGGGTTTTCTTTCAAACAGGTATTCTTCCTTGGCTCTTTCATGCAGTTGGAACTAGGGACTCACTCAAATGCTTTATGGAGTTTTATGTATTCCCCAGCCAATCATCCCTGTGCTGGGTGCTGCTCCCTTGTTCATCTGGTCTACCTGCAGGATTCCAATCTCCCCACACCCAAAGGTTTCCCTGAGATTCCTTTAGGGAAGATATCAGAGTCAAGGGTTTACTGACAAACCCAAGCCTTTTCTGCTGATCCTTTCTGTGTTCCAGGGAGATCTCAAAGAGTTCAGAGAAGTAGAGGTATCTTCATGCAAGAAGGATGGGAACTCTGACTTAGGGGAACTGAGTTTCATTGAGGATAAGAATTCTACTCAGGCTGCCTCTAGTTCCTGTAGACCGTAGAAACACCCTCCTACCCTTTGCTTCCTAAATTTCAGTTAAGATATCTTTTGGGTTTGGTACAATGGTTAAAAAAATAAAATACTGCATTACCAGGCTCTGCTCAGGAGAAAAGATATCTGTTAGAGGCTTAACAGACACACCTTGTTTGGGAGTGTCAGGAAGTGAGTGTCTGTGGTAATCACTTTTTTCAAACCAAACCCTGGACACATGGTCATTAAACACAATGAAACATTTGCAGTTGAGGCTGTTCCCGAAAAGCTTGGACAGTTTGCTGAATTTGTGAATTCCTCAAATTATTTTTTTCAAAATAGCTCATCAAAACTTTAAAAAGTTTTTTAAAGGGAGAAAGCCAAGTAGTAGGATTCTTATTTTCAATTCAGGAAATTGAGTCAGGAGGAAGAGTTAAGAATATGAGCTTGAGCCCTAGCCGGTTTAGCTCACTGGATAGAGCATCGGCCTGCGGACTGAAGGGCCCCAGGTTCAATTCCAGGCAAGGGCATGTACCTTGGTTGCGGGCACATCCCCAGTAGGGGGTGTGCAGGAGGCAGTTGATCGATGTTTCTCTCTCATCGATGTTTCTAACTCTCTATCCCTCTCCTTTCCTCTCTGTAAAAAATCAATAAAACATATATATATATATGAATATGAGCTTGAGCATGAAGCAGGCCTGGATTCACAGATGCCACTCAGAGGCTGTGTGAATTCACTCAAGTTTTTAAAAGACTGCCCTTCCCCCAGTGTCTTTATCTATCTGAGAGGGATAATGTATTTTCCAAGATTGTCTGCATTCAAAAAGGTTTACAAAGCAGTTCCCAGCATGTGGTTAGTGCAACACATTAAGGCTATGGTTTTGACTGTTACAATAAATATTACTATTTTGATGAGCTGGGACCTTCGTGCCGTGAATTTGGGGGGCCAGGTCTAAAGCGCACCTCTCTTGCTTCCAGGAATCTTCTCCCAGGAGACTCCTTGCTTCTGATGATGCCCTGGGAGGACCTGTGTGTGTCAGAGGGGCTTCCCGTACTCATTGCATGTGCGACTGACTCAGAGTTTACTGTGAGGGCCACTTACGACCAGGAATCCTCGGCTTGGCTGTGTGCTGGGTGGGGTCACACTGGGCAGCCCCTCTGAGTTCTTCCTTCCTCTCCCCGCAGAAGGGAGAGCGTGTGCGGTTGTGTTCGACTGCAAGTTCATCGAGACCTCCGCGGCGGTCCAGCACAACGTGAAGGAGCTGTTTGAGGGCATTGTGCGACAGGTCCGCCTCCGGAGGGACAGCAAGGAGAAGAACGAGCGGCGGCTGGCCTACCAGAAGAGGAGGGAGAGCATCCCCAGGAAAGCCAGGCGCTTCTGGGGCAAGATCGTGGCCAAGAACAACAAGAACATGGCCTTCAAGCTTAAGTCCAAGTCCTGCCATGACCTCTCCGTGCTCTAGGCACCCCGAGTCACCCAGATGTCCCCCTCATGGACATCGTTGAAGGCCACTGGGACCGATAATCTATATTAGATTGAATCCTTAAACATTGTTAGATGCGGCTTCCCCTTCTGCAGCTGGGAATGTATGTGTTAGCCTGATGGGCCACAAAATGCACGGGAGATGAAAGATCTTTGTAAAGAGTCCTGTTTATTTACAGGAAAAGCCTGACGTGGCGACTTGAACACCCAAGACATTAGAGGATGTGTTCGGTGTTCACACGTGTTTCCTCTTTCCCTCGGGTAGTAGAGAATCGAGGCCTTAAAAGAATTCCTAGAAAAATAACTGTTCATTATTAAAATTTTCCCCAGGGTTCTGATATTTGAATTTGAGGCCACTGGGTCATAAGCAAATAGAAGAGGGCTTATTCCAGGGAGGAAGTTCCTTATATCTGTGGAGCTAGGACTGTGGAATCGAGCTCATCGTGACTGTTACTGCTCCCTCCGGCTGTGAAAAGAAATGACGGACCTGCTGGAGACTAAACCTTGCAAACGGTTTTTGCTCAGTGCTCACAGTTGGGGATCCAAAAATTTGTAGAATTGAGGACTGATACATGTACCACTGTGGGTTTCAAAAAGTATATCTTGACTTCTGTGTCTTATAATTTTTTATTCAGGGCAATTTATTTTAATCAAATTAACTTAGTCAAACCACCTTTTATGTTTCATTATTTTTACAGTCACAGGGCCATCATAAAAATATTTTTAAAATCTGAATTATTGATAACCTGGAGTGCAAAGTGCCACATTTTTAAGTGTAATCAAAGGCCTGAATTTTTATGACACAAAACATAAATACTTCCAGTACTTTGAGTTGACTCTTGTATCCCACAGCTCTGCTCTATTTATTATTTTGCAAAATAATAACCATTTTAACATTTGATAAAGCATATTTATGACATGTTTCTTAATAAGAAAAATGTCCATTTTATTATCATTTTATATCTTTTTTAGAATATGCAAGTATTTACCTATATATCTTATAATAAAAGAAATAAAATCTTTGAAAAAAGGCATTCTTAAATGTTTTTCCTCCCCAAACAAGATGATTATAATTACATTGGAGGCCTGATGCATGAAATTCGTGCAAGAGTAGGCCTTCCTTCCCTCCGGCACCCAGGACCTGGGCTTCCCTCGCGGAGGGAGGCCCCACCCACCTGCCGCAGCCTGCCAGTCCGTGGCCTGGGCCTCCCTCTTTGGGGCTATCATGGAGCCCACCCCTCCCCCCCATTGATTGCCTCGTACTGCCGGTGGCCTGGGCCTCTCTCTGCTGGGGATCATGGGGTGATGGCTGGGCCCCCGATCAACCACATCGCACCCGCTTTGGCTGGCCTGGCACCAGTGAGTGTCATTGCGTGGTCGCCCGGAAGGTCACCCGGAAGGTCGCCTGGTCTAATTAGCATATTATGATTTTATTATTATATATATTTTGATAGCTTGTAGAATGCTTTGGGGGTTCTCAGGCTAAGGCAGGATTAGTCAATTCAAACAAAAAGGACGGGTTTTGGTAAACGGTGAGAGGCTCTTACCTAAGGGGCGGGGTAAGGAAGGGTGTGGGGGAGACTTGCTCACAAGGGCTGCTGGGAAGTAATACCAGAAACTTCCATTTGCATGTTACTCTGTGGGCTGCTATGCACGGCATGTGTTTGTATGAGGGGACTGGTGTCAGGTTAAAGCCCCCATCAGGTCACTTGGCAAAAAAAATGGATGCAGAGGCAGAAGAGCTTAGCTAAACTCCCAACAATAATGTTTATTGATTACCCTTGTCCCACAGTAGCACTTGCAGACCTGTTGATGCTAAAAGATGACTCAAGTTAAGAGCTCGAGTGGACCTGAAATACCAGGCCTCTTTATCCTTTTTGCACAGAGAGAAATGGAGACTCTGGCCAGTGTGGTTGCCCAGGGTGACTTCATAGCCCAGTTGAGTTGGAACCCAGGGCTCCAGACCCCAGGTCCATGTCTTCCCACAAGAGTTCATGCTATGAACCTGAGTCACCTCGGTTGGGCTCAGGGAGGAGCTCTGCCACCCCGCGGGGGCCTTCCTCCTTCCTTGTGCCATCCTCTGGACGTGGCCCTCTCAGGACATCTATCAAAACTTCCTTGCCAGGGGCTCAGGCTTCTGCCAGGAGAAGGAACTGTGTAAAGAGTGTTCATAACTGCAGATACCTTACATCCAGAGGACCCTGGGCTTGGAGTGAAAAGCCTTAGATACTAGTCCCAGCTTTCCTAATCACCAGTGAGCTTTAAAACCCTCACATATAAAATAAGAAAAGTAAGACCAACACCAAAGGTTTTTTTAAATGACAGGATGAGACAAGTAAAAGTGCTGGGTAATCTCTCAAGAGCATTCAACTCTCTACAGGTTGTTAAAGGGCCATGCACATATAAGAGGGTATTAGGGGCTTTTTGCATATCAATGGCTTGAAATTGTTTGAGGGAGAACTTACAGGTGTGTATCTTTTGGAGTAGGAGGATCTCTCGGTGCCCACCCCCACCTCACCCTTTGGATTCCAGCATGGAGACACTCACCTACTTGCTGACACATTGGACTGGCCTTGATCATTGTCCCTTGGAATGTATGAAGCCAGTTAAAAAACATTAGCAGTTGGGAAAATGCCAACACTCTTGGCAGCAACAGAAGGAACTTTTAATTTTATTTCCTTTATTGTGCCTTTGAGAGTACAGATTGGGCAACGAGAAATGCTATTTTAGGTGTTGAAGATGAGGGCGTTTTTCTCATAAAAAGTCAGTTTGATTTTTTCCATTCCCCTGCTTTTATGCAGAACAACACTCAACAGATAGACCTAGGGTTTCCCGGGTGCCTCCGGCTCTAACTGTGAGTGAGGGAAAGAAGACAGAAGTGCACGCAAAGAATCCACCTCTTGTGACCGAGAAGGGAGATGCAGACCGTGCAGCCATGTGCAAGGGTGGCTGAAAGACAAGATGACATGGCCATGAGGAGGGGGACTCGGAGTCTAGTTGCCCGGGTCTGTATCCCAGCTCCACCTGTTCCCAGCTGGCTAATGTGGGCAAGTAAAACTTTTTAAAGCTTGTTTTTTTTGTTTTCATCTAAATAAAAAAATTGAGTAAATGAATAAAAAGGGTATTTACTTCTGGGTTTTTTATGGGGAAATAGAAACATGCATACAAAGTTCGGACACTAGCACACGATGAAAGCTCAACAACTTGTAGCTATGTTGTATTATTTTCTTTATTCAAATGAAAACCAGAGCCTCCTGAAATTAGTTGCTAGGAGGAAGTAGTGAGGGACTGCCTAACAAGATCCTGTCTTTCTTTGTTGTTCTCAATTGTCATCTTTCCCTAGGGCAATCTTAGTACCATTGGGGTGGGTAATTCAGTTTCATGTCCTGGCCAAAGGGTGGGCCAAACTCCCTGCCAAAGGAGTTCCCCTTAGCAACCGAAAACAGGTTAAAAATTGGAAAAGGCCTTTATTAAATCCCGAGGTTGCTAAGCAACCTGAAATCTGAATGTCAACAGTAGAGTCTATAATGGCTGCGGTAATTAGCCCTAGTCCCTGGGGGGGGGGGGGGGGGGTGTACGTTGGGTGCATACTGTCTCAGGCCTTTGGCCTGGATTCCTGGTTTCCAAGCTTCCAAAGCTTGCCTCCAATAAAAGCTTTCCCTAAGTCCCCCTCCTCAGGAACTACCTCACGGATGTCTGGACGTCAAGACTCAGAGAAGCAGATGCCAGTTCTGCTCTGCGTTTATTGGCTTCCCTCTGAGTCCTAGTTTTTACTGAGTGGGACACTGGCATCTTCCTCCCTTAGAGCCGGGCCCAATAGGTTTCTCCTCCCATGAGGTGAAGCCCTCCTCTTGCTTGGCCACGGGGTTTTATCCTTGAACGTCCAGACACAATGTCACATGCCAACCTTTCCCAAAGTGTGTTCTTGAGGGACCCTTTTGCTATGTATAACATATGCTTAACAAAACTTACCGTTCTAACTATTTCTGTTAGGTAGAATAGCTAGCTACACCATTTTACATTCCGACTAGGAAATGTACAGGGGTTTCAATTTCTTCACATCCTTGAAAACATTTCCTATTTTCTGATTTTTAAACATAGCCATCCTGCTGGGTGTGACGAGGTATCTCGTTTTGATTTTGATTTGCTTTCCCTAATGAGCAGTGAATGTTGAGGGTCTTTTCATGTGCTTCTGGATTTTCATATACTATTTTTGGAGGAATGTCTTTCAAATTCTTTGCCCATTTTAATAACCTAATCATTTGATTTTTTGCTCTTGGGTTGTAGCTATATAATATTTTGGGTATTAATCTCTTATTAGACATAAGATTTGGAAACATTTTTACTCGTTCTGTGGGTTGCCTTTTCACTTTGCTTATAGTGTCCTTTGATGCACAAACATTTTAAATTTTGATGAAATCTAATTTATCTATTTTTTGTTGTTGCCTATGCTTGGATATGACATATCCAAGAAATCATTACCGAATCCAATGTTATGAAGATTCTGTGTTTTCTTCTAAGAGTTTTATAGTTTTAACTTTTATGTTTAGGTCTTTGATCTATTTTGAATTAATTATTGTATATGGTGTAAACTAAGGGCCTAACTTTATTTATTTTCTTTTTCCATGAGGGAAATAGGTTTCTTGCATAATCTAGAGTTCATTGGTTGCAAGCAACAGAAACTGAGATAGGTTAATTACTGGAATAATTTTAGATAGTTCACAGGAATGAAGAGACCATCTAAATAGTAAAATCTCTGGGACTACATACTAGCAATGTCACCAAGTCTTGAATATCTTAGTAATAGGAACTCATGGACTATATTTTTTTCAAATTTTTTAATTTTATTATTGATTTAATTTTATTATTTTATGTTTTCCATTACCATCTATCCCCTCTATGCCCCCTCTTCCTGCTTCTCCAAATTCCATGTAGGCAACTATATTTCTATCGTTTCACAAATGCCGGTGTCTGAGAAATGAATGGCTGCCCACCAGGACCACAGCAACCACATCAACTCCGGGTAAGGTGGGAACGACAATTTTTTTTAATCCTCACCCAAGACTATTTTTTTCATTACTTTTCAGAGACAGTGGAAAGGAGCAGGGAGAGAGTGAGAATAGGAAAAAGGGCGGGGGGGGGGAGAGAAACATTGATGTGGGAAAGATACATCGATTGGTTGTCTCCCATACTCTCCCCAACCAGGGCCTGGGGATCGAGCCAGCATCCCAGAAACGTGCCCTTGACCCATGACTCTTCGGTGCACAGGCCACACTCTAGCCCAGGGGTGGGCAAACTTTTTGACTCAAGGGCCACAATGGGTTCTTAAACTGGACCGGAGGGCCGGAACAAAAGCATGGATGGAGTGTTTGTGTGAACTAATATAAATTCAAACTAAACATCATTACATAAAAGGGTACGGTCTTTTTTTTTTTTTTAGTTTTATTCATTTCAAACGGGCCGGATCCGGCCCACGGGCCGTAGTTTGCCCACGGCTGCTCTAACCATTGGGCATGCTGTCCAGGGCAAGGGAATGACAATTTTTAAATTCCAAGACTTAGGGATTTGGGGCTCTCCGAAGACTGGTTTCAGGAGGGAGCCGTTGGGAGTTTGGTAGGAGCCTCTTAAGGCTCTGGCTAGCCTTGCTTCCCAGAGCGTCCGGCTTGGGGACGAATGTCCCACAGGCTGAATGCAACGAGCTGGGACACAGAGAATGCGCTGTGGTGATGCCTCTGGGCCTGAAGACGGTGCTTACAGAGTGAACCAGGGGGCAAGAAACTGGAGACCTGGGACCAGCCTCAGCACTTCCACCATGTCTTGTGCCCACTCTGCTTCAGGATGGCTTCCTCTACAAAGTGAAGAGGGTTGGGCTAATTCTATTAATTAAAAAAAACAAAAAACATTTAGTGAGCTTTGATTATGCAGCAGGCTCTATGCTAGCAGGATGTGAACTTACGCAAAGCGTGTACAGGACCTTGTAGACATGATTTCCAAGGTTGCTGGCGACTCCGACGTTCTGTGAGTCTATGAAA